TAATCATGGTTTAAGGCAGGACTTAAATAAAAATTAGGTCTTTAGAAACATTTATGCTAATACGTAGTTTTAAATGATTTTCTGTGCATAATGAAAATTGACCACAAAATTAATGGGCAAGTTAATGCTAAACTGAGAAGTTGGAATTTATTAGCAGAAGTCTTTGCTTTTATTTAAGTTACTTTAGTTTTACAAATGTTATAGGATTGTCAAATATTCAGAAGTACTGGGAGAAACTTCTTTTTTAAAAACGTAATTGTTCTTTTAAGTTCTCCCTCTAGAAATCATAAAAGGATAAAAAAGCTTTTCATATTCAAGACTCCCTCCCATTACTGTCAATAGCAGTTAAGTGTATTTATGGAGACATGAGACAGCACAAAGATTCTTCTGTAATTTGTCAGAAGTCCCATCTTAAGTATAATTACATTACACAGCTCCACTCAGTCATTAGTTTCTTGTTTAGCAACGATGTCCTTCATTTTAAATTCTTGATGGTAATTATTTGTAACTATGCCCTTGAATTCTGAAAGCATGTGTCCTGCAGTCCTGGTGAACAATGGGTGTTTCTGGATACAACACCTCTGGCTTCCCATACAGGAAATAGTCTGTAACAACAGGGAAAATTTGCAAAAAGTTCTCAGCTTGAGCTACAACCCAAAATGAAGTTGTGTGGTTATGCATGTATGTGTGTGTATGTACAATAAAAAACTAAAAAACCAAGTCATTAGGTATAAGGCATGATTTTTAAAAATCCTTAGTGACCAAATCACATTTTAAAGCGTTTGACAGTTGCTTAAATTAAAACATATTAACACGTATAGAAGATTGACCTGAAAGTGAGCTTTTTTACTTCTACCAGTGTTCTTTTTTGCAGAAAAACATCTTGTGTTTGTGTATTTATTCATTTATGGAATACCCATTATGTGCCAAGAACTGTTTGGGTGCAGAGAACAGGCTATAAGATATTCTGAGCCCTCCAAGAGCTCACAGGTCAGTGGCCAGAGGGAAAAACAAACAAACAAACAAACAAACAAACAAACAAAAAACAGATAAGTAAATCTAAAGAACTTGATTATCCTCAGGCCTGGGAGAAATAGCAGATCATGTTGATACTAAAACCTAAGCGTTCTAGCTTGTTAACTCACGTGCTGATTTGGTACATTCTTAAAGCTGGGCGTTTCCAGGGTTGCCTTACAATATTTTTACTGCTCCTCTTGGAACTTACACTCCCCAGCGCAACTGGCAACAACACAGATTATGCTCTGAATATGAAGATCAAACGCCCAGTCTTGATCTTCAAAAGAGAGGGCATCCCTTCCGGATGCCTCACTGGGACTCCAGCTCACTGTGGCATCGGGTCCTGTAGTTTACTGTAGCTCTGCAACATGCCAGTCCATTCTGTCATTCTTGTCTTTTCTTCCTCACCTCCCCCAGCTTTTGTTCTCTTTGGCTCTTTTGAAAGCCACATTTATGTTCTTCACATATGGGAAGTATTTTTGGTCAAAATTTAAAACCTGTAATGTGTTCCTTGGCAAAATGACTTGCTAAGCAAGTCTGGCTTTAACTTGAAAGAAAAGCTTTCAGTAGGCAACAAAACAAAAATCTCATAAACCACTCTGGCCACATGGCAATTCTTATTCATCAAAGCTAACTATATTTTACATGCATGTATTAAACAAAACCTCCTTTCTCAGTGAAAGGAGGTGTGTACTGGAGTGATTAAAATTTTTATTATTGAGCTACACGTGGTTTCTAATAGAATTATATATAGACATTTACATTTTTCCTAACACACTGGCTTTATAGTAGGAACCAGAACGATTTTCTTAGGGATTAACCTCCTAGCTAGGAGGCACAGAGAGAACCATGGAGAAACAATATTTGTAGAGTGCCTATTGTCTGAAAAGCATTGTGCTAAGGGCCTTATCCACAGTTCTTTCACTGAATCCTTACCACCGACCCTAGGAGGTAGGTAGCAGGATGATCCCACCACAAAGGGAAAGACTGAGGCTTAGACAGGTTAGCTATCTTGCCCAAGGTCTTTCAGCCCTTCTCCTTTCTATTAAGCTGCTCCTCACTGTTGAGATGCCAAAAGTGTCCTAGTGTTGCCATGTTTTTTGCCTCATTTGTGTGTGTTTTCCTTTCTCTCTAAAGCAGCGAGAACTCAGGTCAGGTTTGGTTTGGATATGAGTTTGCTTGAAAGAATGGCCAGCACCCGGGGCTTGGCAACCAACAACATGAGCACTGCAACTAAAGAGCAGGTGGAGGGCAGGATTCCCCTCCAGCTGTTACAATGGGTTGATACCTAAAGTTTTGCACCCAGGCAGATCTGGATTTGAATCCTATCTCTGCTACCGTCTGGTGACTCTGGGCAAGCTATCTTTTCTGAAACTCAACTTTCTCAACTATAAGGTGGGGGTAATGCTGCCTACCTCACAGTGCTGTAGGAGGATTGGAGAGGACATACGACAAGGACTTGGCAGATAGTTGGTAATTATTCATGCTTTTATGTCTGCCTTTTGCACCCACAGACAACCACTGCATCCACCAGGGCTTCGTGTGAGCAGGTCCAGGCCTGCCGGTTTCTCAGTCAGTGATAATCAGCTTTTGCAGCTGAAGCCTGTTTGACTGTAGACCTGACATCTTGCTTAGATCCTGCAATACCTGACTCCTCTTCTGTAGTGATCCCCAATCCTCCTTTATCTCTAGTGCAACCTCTGGCTGGGGTCTATAAATGCACTGGGCTTCCTTCTGCCCTTAGGTCAGCTAGATCAGACACGCACACCCACCTTCACTAGGGGCTATGCCTAAGGTCCCTATATCCTTTGGATACTGTAGCATGCTATTACAGAGCTGACCTTCATAACTGGGGTGCTCACTCTTCTCCATGCTTACTACTGTTATTATTCTGAGCATCTTTCAGGAGCAGAGCCCTGTTACAACACAGGCATTGACCATGAAATTGAGCTGAGTGCTTTATATATATTATCTCCTTTAGTCTTCATTATAATCCTGTAAAGTAGGTACTATTACATATTCAGGCCGGGTGTGGTGGTTCACGCCTGTAATCACAGCACTTTGGGAGGCCGAGGCGGGCGGGTCACAAGGTCAGGATATCGAGAACATCCTGGCTAACATGGTGAAACCTCGTCTCTACTAAAAATACAAAAAAGTAGCCGGGCATGGTGGTGGACGCCTGTAGTCCCAGCTACTCGGGAAGCTGAGGCAGGAGAATGGTATGAACCTGGGAGGTGGAGCTTGCAGTAAGCAGAGATTGCCCCACTGCACTCCAGCCTGGGCGACAGAGCGAGACTCCATCTCAAAAACAAAAAACAAAAAAACGAAAAAACATATTCATACTCGATACCTATTCATTTCTTTCTTTCTTTTTTTTTTTTTTTGAGACGGAGTCTTGCTCTGTCACCCAGGCTGGAGTGCAGTGGCGCGATCTTGGCCCACTGTAACCTCCGCCTCCCGGGTTCACACTATTCTCCTGCCTCAGCCTCCTGAGTAGCTGGGACTACAGGCGCCCGCCACCACACCGGGCTAATTTTTTGTATTTTTAGTAGAGACGGGGTTTCATCGTGGTCTCGATCTTCTGACCTCGTGATCCGCCCACCTCGGCCTCCCGAAGTGCTGGGATTACAGGCGTGAGCCACCACACCCAGCCCGATTCATTTCAAAATGAGGAAACTGAGACTTAGGAAGATTAAGGACCTTTCTCCAAGTCACACATCTAATAAGAGGTAAGACCAGGCCTAGGATCCCAGGCCAGGGCTCACAGCTGTTATACCACATTGTTTTTCATCCCATCTGTCACCCTTCCCCTTCCTCCTTTTCTGATTGATGTGGTGCATGCAGCAGGTACTTTTTTTTCATGGTAGCATTTCTCACAATGTACTGTCACCAATTTATTTGTCTATGTCTCTCCTTAAATAGGGAGCTTCCTGAAGGCAGGAACCATGTCTTATTTATTCCTGTAGACCAGTGCTTACCACAACATGTGGCACAAGGTACTCCAGAGGATGTTTGTTTACTGAATTATATTGGCTTTTTCTTCTCTACCTGCTGTCTTTTGCTGAAGTCTTAGCATGTCCTCTACCCACACTCATTTGAGCTATAGCAGCTCTCAAATCAATGTTAGCAGTTACTCTTTGGTCTGAACTTGTGTGTGGGTGTTGACATACGTATGTATGTATATGTCTGTGTGTGTTTGTGTGTTTGCTGTGGTATCAACTAAAACAGCTAGTTTTGCCAGTGCTTGTCTACATCAAAAGCTTTTAGCTATCATGTTTCTTCAGTTCCCTTTAATCTGAAAACTTTCCACAGCCTTTCTTTGTCAGCATGACATAGACATTTTTGAAAAATATAGTCCATTAAAAAATAAAATGCTTCCCCTGTTGGGTTTGTCTGATGTTTCCTTCTGATTAGATTCAGGCTCTGCATTAAAATGCTGTTTCTTTTCTCATATTTGGAGGCACACAATGTCCATTTGCCCATCTGAAGTTGATTTGGATCACCTAATCAAGACGTTGTCCTATTTCTTCCCTGTATACTTAACATTCTTTTTCCTCTGGTAACTAATAAGCAAATGCTGAAGAGACATTTTAAGATGATGCATATATCCTGTTACTCTTCCAAATTCCCTCCTGGATCCATTGATGATTCCTGCCTATACCTGTCTTTAATATGATGATTGCAAAATGACAATTCTGGAAATAAATGTGGTATCTGACCCTAGACTAGATCCTGCACAGGAGGGGAAAATACCATAAAAGACATCGACCATGCATTAGATGTCCTACTTAAAGTAATGTAAGGTTTTCATTTAATAGCTGACATTTAACTGATTAAAAAGTACAGGCCTCCCCTGGACTGAACGGCCCCCAAGATCTAGTCTCATGTGAGATCCTATGACTCTATGTGAAACTTCTGTTACTGTGATGGAAACTGTATGGAAACTGAAACTAAATAATAGTGGTATGAAATGAAGACTCTAATTCTGGTTGCACATGTTTGTTTTCTTTATTAAAAGACAATACAGAAATGATGAAACAATACCTCAAGGGTCTTGAACATGGATGAAATGACAGAGGTCTTTAATGCAATGGCACAGAAGCTTCTGGCATCAGCACCTGCAAGCCCTGTTCAGTTGTCATTCATGATCGCCAAATACTCCTTCTGGTGTTCAACCAGCTTCAGGAATACTTGGTATTTCTTATCATAGTATCTGTGGGAGAAACATAAATATGTTGAATGATCTCAAGACAAAACTACCATGGGGCTTCCCTGTACATTTAGAAGAATGAGAATATATCTGTGGTGGTGATGCTGACACCTGGATTTTGAATGCTTACAGCATCCTGGGCAATGAATTAGCATGTGTCAGACCTATTATATGTGACCTGCATGAAGTTTTATTATCTCCATTTTAGAAATAAGAACATTTAAACCCCATCTCTATTAAAAAACTCATATCTCTCTGACTTCAAAGCTTCTGCTGTATATACAAAAAAGCCCGAACTTAATGGAGACCCTTTCACATTGCCAGCTTCAATAAATATTTCCTGTATAACTAGCCCCAGGTTTGATGACTGGCCTAAAATCACAGCCTGACCAAAGACGAGACTGAACATTTTAATTGCCCTTTTGCAGATTCCACATCTAGGTTTCCCTTGTGAACTGCTTTATCCAGGAGCAAAACTCCATGGAAAGGTGACTCATGCCTTTTCTAGAGCTGTGCTCGCCTTCCAGGCATCTCACAGTGGCCCTCGCTCTCCCTGTCCCATCTGTCTGACTCTTTGGGTTAGACCTGTTAGAACTGGTATTGCCATGAATCAGATAGCAGAACAGCTGAAGCTGCTCTGGCATCATAATCCTGAAAGGAATAATAGGAACCGAGACAAATTATACTTGCAGCCTTGCAACTTTGTCCTTACTCCTCTTGGTTGGGAAACTGACATGGGGTGAGGGAATGAAGAAGCCAGTTTAGCACGTCTTGGTTTATTCTGGGGTGCTCTGAAAAGGAGTCCTCATGATGAAATTTTGGTGCAAAGTTGTGCATTGGGGGAGAGAGGTTGTAAGAGTAACCTTGGATACACAGAGGGACTTCTACTAGTCACACATAGCTATGTTCGTAGGAGTCACCTACCTGGTATTTATTATACTGTAAGCATTCTGGTAACGTAGGAGTTGTGATGGGGCCAAGCACAGGGTTAAAAGGTGAACTCCGAAGCCTGGGTTGGAATCTTAATGTGGCCCAATATTAGCTGTGTGACTTTGGATATGTTACTTACACTATTTCTGCCGAAACTTCTCCATCTGTAAATGGGGATAATTATGGGATCTACTTCAGCAGAGCTGTTGTGTGAATTAAATGTGGAAATATATGAAAAGCATTTAGAACAGTACCTGACTCATAATGTGATATAAGTGTTAGTTACTAATTTTTAGATAATTGATATTTTAATATTATCATCAATATAGCTATATGTAGGTACTACTAAAACCTACTCTATGACCATCCAAATTTATTAGTTGTTGAATTATTTTAGGAACAATTTGCTCCTACGCATGATGCTCTGTGACAATATAATGGTAAGCAATTCTTTCATTTACATGAGATGGATTTCTTGACTTTAGAATCTCAGAATTGCTAGAAGGGAGCTAAGGGGAGCACCCCTTCACACACACTTGAAGATTTACAATGTTAATACTGACAAATTTGCCGTAACTTTGTGCACTGGCCTTATTCTTTACATAGGTGGAATCATGCAGTATTCGTCTTTTTGTGGTTATCTTATTTCACTTAGAATAATATCCTCAAGGTTCACTGATGTGTGGCATGTCAGAAATTGCTTCTTTCTAAGGCTGAATAATATTTCATTGTATGAACATATCATTCTTTGTTTATATGTTCATCTACAAATGAACACTTAGGTTGCTCTCACGGTTTTAGCTATCATGAATAATGTTGTTGTGAACATGAATGTAGAAATATCTCTTCCATACCCTACTTTCAGGTCTTTTGGGTATATACTCAGGAATACAATTCCTGAATCACATGTTAATTCTATTTTTAATTTCTTGAAGAATGGCCATACTGTTTTCTGCAGCAGCAATACTACTTTGCATTCTCGCCAACTATACACAGGGGCTCCAATTTCTCCATATCCTTGCCAACATTTGTTGTTCTCTGTTTTAAAATAGTAGCATCCTATTGGGTGTGAGGTGGTATCTCACTGTAGTTTTGATTTTCCTAATAGTGATGTTGAATACCCTATCACGTACTTATTGGTCATTCATAAATCTACTTTGGAGAAATATCCATTCAAGTCCTTTGCCCATTTTTTTTTTTTTTTTTTTTTTTTTTGAGACGGAGTCTCGCTCTGTCGCCCAGGCTGGAGTGCAGTGGCCGGATCTCAGCCCACTGCAAGCTCCGCCTCCCGGGTTTACGCCATTCTCCTGCCTCAGCCTCCCGAGTAGCTGGGACTACAGGCACCCACCACGTCGCCTGGCTAGATTTTTGTATTTTTTAGTAGAGATGGGGTTTCACTGGGTTAGCCAGGATGGTCTCGATCTCCTGACCTCGTGATCCGCCCGTCTTGACCTCCCAAAGTGCTGGGATTACAGGCTTGAGCCACCGCACCCGGCTTCCTTTGCCCATTTTTGAACTGGGTTGTTTTTGCTTTTTTTTTGTTGTTGAGTTTTAGGAGTTCTTTATACATTTATATATTCTGGATATCAATCCCTTATTGGATGTATGATAAGCAAATGTTTTCTCCCATTCTGTGAGTTGCCTTTTTACTTTGTTGATAGTGTCTTTCAATGCACCAAATTTTTCAAAGCACTTTCAAGGGACTCTTCCAGGGCCACATATAAATTTGGACTGGGCAAAATAATGAGATTTGGGGTCATCCTAAACATTTACTCATTAAACTATAGTCACTAAATTGTGCTCTCCGTGATTGTGAATTTTCAAATCAGCTGAATCCCCTCTCTTCAAAATGTGCCTCAACTCAGTCCCTTGCTTCTGTGTGGTAGAGGCCTAAGTAAATGTCGTCCCACATCGTTAACAGTGTGATCTATTAGGCAATGAGGTGAGGTTGGCTCAGAAGGAAACTGGCTTCTCCTGTCTCCTTGCAAATCTCTGGTTTGCCTGCAGATGGTGCTAAAGCACCATGTGTGCTGCCTCCTTCACAGAGAACAGCGGCCAGCTGCCAGCTCCCAGCAAGCAGCCAAGGACTCTCTTCTAAAGAAACACGTGGGGTTTAGGGAAAGAACTTAAAAACTTCCCTAACAAGTCTTGGGAGGGTCAGGGAAGAGATGGAGAAAGACAGTCTTTCTAATTTCACAAAAAGAGGGATGCTCCAGCTGCCTCTAGGGAACAGAAATAGGGACAGCATAGCTCCTACTGCCAATGGGAACTCAGATCTCTCTACCTTCCTGCATGGAGCTCCCTTATGCAAGGCCTGCACCTTCCACCCTGGCATTTAGAGAAGGGTTTATATTCGGAGGATTAGCAGCCTGACTCTATGTGGAGACAAGGGAAATGAAAAGAAAGTGGATTGCTTTTCTATGAACATTTCCAGTTCTGTTAAACACTGACCCTACTTCAGTGGGATCTGCACCTTTGCCTGTTCATCATGTTAAGTGGAATTTGTTTTTAGGTCTTAACCTCGAATACTTTCCTAAAATTATAAAAGCACTTCCACAACAACCCCTTCATCTTCAAAATCACCACCAGCAAATTAATAGAGGTCTTTTACATCTCTAGCCTGGATTCTTGAAAAAGCCTTTTATTTGAACCCTCTATTTCTACCCTGAGCCCCCTGTACTGGATCCTTTAAGAGGGATCTTTCTGATCTGCATCGACCAGGTCTCACCTCTGCTTAGAATTCAGCATCTCTGTTCTGCCTATAGGGTGAGGTTAGAGGTCTTCGGCATGGCCTCCAAGGTATTTATGAGCTGACCTCCCCCCACCCAATTCTATCCTTCCCCGGTCCCATTTCCTGCCATTCCCCATCTCATACTTTGTGTTTCTGGATTATGAGTTGTTTATAGTAACCTGAATGTACTATGCTGCTCCCACCTTTATAATTGTACACATTATTCCTTCTACTATGAATATTCTTTCCTGCCTTGGCCTGTCTACCAATTTCTTACAGTGCTTAAAGTTAGCTTGGACATAACCTCCTTCCAAAAGCATTCTCTCATCTCTACAGGCTCCCATCCCTTTCTTCCTTGGGCAACTTTGTCACCTGGCAATACTTCAATTGTGGAACTTATCCCATTGTTCTAAAATAATCTATGTGCCTAAATCGGATTGTGTTTTATTCCCCTGTAACACCTGCCTGGAGCCCAGCATAATGCCTTGAATATAGCAGGAATGAAATAAATTAATATTTTGTTGAATTGGGATTAAAATACTGACCAACATCATTTTTTAGATTTTGATGCCAAGTGATACAAAGAGTAAAAGAATGGGCAGATGCTACTGGGTCCTTTGATGCAGATGTAAGAGATCCCTACTTTAGAACAGAGAAGAGCAGATTTGCTGCCAATTACCTAGGAAAAAGAACATTGGTCTGAGAGTTCAGAAGCTTACATCTGACCCCCAGCTCTGGCCCTACATAGTTCTGCAATCTTAGATAAGTGAAGGTGACGTTACCTCCCTGGAACTTAGTTCTCTTAACCACTAAATGAAAGGACTGGATTAGTTGACCACCTGAGTTTATTCCAGATCTATAGTTGCGTGTGTGTGTGTATGTGCTCAATTCTTTAGCACTGTACATATAAAAAATACACACTTACTTTTTATCCTGTAGTCTCGGGAACACAACTTTCCCAACTTTGCTCATTTTTGCCATTGCTTCCTGTTAAATGGAAAACAATACAGACAGCTGAGTTGGAAAGCGAAATCCAAAGTGAGGCTTGTCACAGGCAAAACATTCTAGTTAGAATTTGCTTCCCTTTAAGATATTTGGTTAGTCCTCTTTTTGTTTTTTTAACTTATTTTTCTCTGGTAATAAGAATAAAACACAAAAATAAGAATAAAACACAGTGAACATTTAAAGTTTCAACTATGACCACACACACATCCTGCACTTAATAGATACTTGTATATTGAGGCCTCTGGGGCATAAACAACCCAGAAGGCAAAGCAGTTCTGTGACTGCCTCCAGGGGTGAGTGGGAAGAATTATTTCCCCTCCTCACTACCTGGACACAGGGCAGAAGAATGGAACATAACCAGCCGCTGAGTACATCGTCTACTTACCTAAAGATAGCAATCACTGAATGGAACTCACGTTGCACCTGTACTTGAGGATAAAATATTTAAGACCTCGTCAATTCAACTTCAGCTCTTTTCCCAGCAATCTCTGAAGTTGTGAGTACCTACTGAGACCTCTGGGCTGAGTCTAAGTGACTTGAGTTCTGGAATGTGACTTCAGGACATTCTTTTCTTTACAATGGGGCACTCAGGCAGATGACATGTTACAGCATCTGGGTGGACATGGTATGGTGTGTGCAGCATCAAGATTAACCATGGATTGTGCTGGCTCCCATATGAGCAGAAGAGTAAGGTTTTTTTAAGGAGTCCCTTAGGCTGTTAAGGCCATGAGAAAGTAAACTTTGGAGTCCAACAGACCTGGCTAGGGAAGATGGCAAGCAACAGTATGACAAAGCTCTACAGCATATGCTCAGTCTCAGGAATGGCTATTGAATTCCTATTGCTAAGGATGCAGTCATTCTGGGATCACATGTATACAACTTCTTACTCTACACATTTGTTAATCGCTTACTATGTACCAGACACTCTGCTAGGGATACAGATTTGCATACAACATACTCTTTATCCTGGAGAAACTTGCATACTAGTAAGGGAGGAAAAAATGTAAAAAAAAAAAAAAAAAAAAAAAAGGCTGAATACCATACAGAATATGAGAGCCCCTGGGTATCTTCAAAGCATTTCCAAGTGTTCCCCCTGACCATCTTTGCCACCTTACTGTGACTGATTGACCGATTTGCATGCCACTAATTTCCTTCTGCCACTTTGTATGTTTTCTGGTTTATGTGTTCATTGTCTGCCTTCTTCACTCCTTGCCCTAACCAGAATGTCAGCTGCACAGGGCAAGGACTTGTCTGTTTACTACTGAATCTCGACACCTGGAATATTCATAAAACACATTGCCTCCCTTTCATGTGCCAAGCATAACACTCAATCTACATGGAATACAGAGAAAGATTGTATGGGCCTTTCATCAAAAAGCTCACCATAGACTGGAAAAGACATTTAATGTGATCAAAATAGAGTGTGATAAATACTACGCTAGAAGCGGATAAACTTCTTTCAATAGTTATTCAAGGGTTAGGTAACCTGATGGTTCTTTCATCTGCTGGCTTACACGAATTTCCACTCCTGCTAGGTTGCTCTATGGACTCTTCCACGAGGATAGCATGTGCATTCTGAACTAGTCATCTAGCTTCCTAGCTCTCCATGGATTTCAATGTGCTGATTGGGAGATCAGAGATGCTAAGAGTAGCCAGCACACTGACAGCAGAAAGAAATGGCAGTCTTAAGTAGGCAGGAGATTTTTTTAAATGAAAAATTATTGACAAGGAAACCGTGGAGAAAGACAAAGACTAAAAGGGCTTACTGGAGTCATGTTGTGAAGGGCCAGATGGTCAAACACATCTTAGTGAAGCTGCTGCCATCCCACTTAGCAGAGGTATGTTAAGAGCTCTGCTTGCCTCAGAACATTTTCCTTCATAGACGAAGTCCTGATTCCCTTAGAGCAAGCTTGGGTATTGTTGAGATCATCTCAGCAATCCCCATCATCAGCTCTGCCAGTCATTCTTATTTTGTCCTCGTCTCTTCCTTGAGTTGTGCTCTGCTGTGCTTTAGGGAGGACCTCGCCTTCTATTACCAGCTCTGAATCTTCAAACTGCCCTCAGGGAATGCTTCTCCTGGCTGTGCTTTGGCCCCACACTTGAGACAACATTCCAGGATCGCCTTCATGGGTGGGATCCAGGAAACTTCTATTATAGAAGGTACTCCATAAATGTTATTTTCCTTCCCACTGCAACAGATGTGCACACAAATGGCAGACATCAGGGAATTCTTCCTTCCTTTCTCCACATTACCTTTGCTTGTTTTAAAAATAAATTGAGAAGCAAACATCAGCAAAAGAGATTTCAATGGTTTAAAAAGACGTTATGCTGTTTCTCAAAAAGTACAGATTTAAATGTTAAACTTAGCTCAGGTATCAGCTCTGCTGAGATTTTTTTCTGACTCATCCCCGCTGCCTGCCTCCCACCTATATTGAGTTATGTGCTCCAACAGCAACTTGTGCTTCCGTCTATCATAGTGTTTATGACATGGCACCATATTTTTTTGTTAACAGATCAGCCTCCCCAACTAGACTGTGAGCTCCTTAAAGCTGGAATTGTTATAATTATTTTCACTGCCAAACTCGGCATCTGGCATATCGTATGCACTCAGGGAATGTCTATGGAATGAATGAACTTAAGGATAATACACGTGACAGAATGTTAAAATGGAAGTTTTGGCTGAGATCTAAAGATGACAGATATGAGATACCAAAGCAAACTGGAAACAGACCACCCTGAAGAATGTGCAAGAATGGTGCCTGAGGACCCATTAATCAACTCTTAAACCTTTCATCCACGTGGAAGTTCAGACAGAGATGGATTTTTAGGAAAGAGCTGTCGGTTTATTGCACATCAGGCCTCCTTCCAGGGTGAAGTATGAAGGAATCCTCTCCCTTCAGGAGTCAAGAGGACACAGACCAGCAGAGAATCTGCTGCATGTTCCTGAGGTTGTGGCACAATGGTGGCTTGTGAGTGACTCCTGTCTGGAAGAGACAGGCTGGCTGGCAGCTGCAGTGTAAAAGTGAAGTAGAGGTTACCCTGGGATCAACCAGCACTGCCAGAGTCTGTTCAGATCCCAAAGACAAAGGTTTCCCATAGACCCCAAGTGGCCCATGTGTGAGAGAGATGCCAGGGGTTCTTAGATCCTGTTCAACATGGCCGCCTAACGAGGTTGAGGAGTCTCCACAAAGAAGCATGAGGTTGGGCTGGGCGCAATGGTTCATGCATTTAATGCTGGCACTTTGGGAGGCCAAGGCGGGTACATCACTTGAGGTCTGGAGTTTGAGACCAGCCTGGCCAACATGGTGAAACCCCATCTCTCCAAAAATACAAAATTAGCCAAGTATGGTGGCATGTGCCTGTGGTCCCAGCTACTGGGGAGGCTGAGGCACAAGAATTGCTTGAACCTGGGAGGCAGAGGTTGCAGTGAGTCAAGACTGCACCACTGCACTCCAGCACTCTAGCCTGGGAGACAGAGCAAGACTCTATCTCAAAACAAAACCAAGCAAAAAACAAAACCAAAAAAAAAAAAAAAAAAAGGCTAAGGATTCCTGAGGAATTAAGAGTAAGCAATTTATGAGAATAGAGAGGCATTAACTAAGACAAGAATATTTCAGGTGAGAGGTTTTCAGAGGCAGAGGGTCTCCCCAAAAACCTATGATGTGCCTTATGAGAATCAGAGCTAGCTGTAAACACCTATAAGGCTAAGAGAGCATGAAGCCCATTATGACAGTACTGATTGGATAAGATTTTTTTTTTTTTTTTTTTTTTTTTTGAGACGGAGTCTTGCTCTGTCACCCAGGCTGGAGTGCAGTGGCCGGATCTCAGCTCACTGCAAGCTCCGCCTCCCGGGTTTACGCCATTCTCCTGCCTCAGCCTCCTAAGTAGCTGGGACTACAGGTGCCCGCCACCTCGCCCGGCTAGTTTTTTTTTTTTTTGTATTTTTTAGTAGAGATGGGGTTTCACCGTGTTAGCCAGGATGGTCTCGATCTCCTGACCTCGTGATCCACCCATCTCGGCCTCCCAAAGTGCTGGGATTACAGGCGTGAGCCACCGCGCCCGGCTCGGATAAGATTTTCTTCCCTTATACTTTCTAACTTTTCTTCCCTCCTAACTTTTCTTCCCTTATACTTTCTAACCATTTCAGAGGAACAAGAAAAAAGCTAATATGTTGGAGAGAAAGTGAATGAGGAAGAAAGCAGAATCTGATTAGGGCTACATCTCATTTTTGGCAGACCCCAGCTGGAAGAACTGGAAAACGTCTTACCTTTACCTTTACATATTATTTGATACTTGAATTTCTGAATTTTGGCTACATCTCACAACTTAAAGGGACCATAAAGGTTATATTATCTAAGTGACTTTACATTTATCTAAAAAAGTAATGGAACCACCAAAATTTTTAACCAGGGCAGGGAAAAACTAGCTCTACTGCACAAATGTAAAGGGATAATGAGAATAGAAAAGAAAGACATAATTTTTTATTCTATCTCAATAATCGTGTTTGTGCTACATAATTTTTTGTTTGCTCTACACAACTTGTTAAAAACAAGTTATATATGCATAATAAAGATTGGATCAGTACATATTAAAATGTTATCTGGTTGGATAGCATGGGTAACAATTTTTTTTTCTTATCAAGTTGCTTATTGTATTTTCCAAATTTTCTACGGTGGCACATATTAATTTTGTATTTGTAGGGAAAACATGTAATGCCGTATATGTGTATATATGTATATATTTAAAGTTATGCTTACAAAGGCAGTCAAAATGACTTGGGTTCACCTTCCCCTTTCCTGAAAGGCAGGGCTTATTATGGGTTCCTAACACAATATGGAGAATACCCTGAGAATCAGTGCTCTCATCAGAAATAGCACTGCTGAGTTTTCCAATTTCTCCAAATAATTAACACAAAACTGAAATCTCATGATCCCACTTGGCTGCAGTAAATCTGAATTTACCACAACATAACAATACGAATT